CTTTCTTATGAGATAAATCTATAGATTTACATAATATTTTCTTTAGTTAAAATCTTGGGTCATTTAACAAACACTAATGCAAATTGATCACAATATAAACAATGCAAACTATGCTTGAATTTTTTTTTTCAAAAGCACTTAATTAAGTCGCAATATTTATTTGTAATTACCAACTATTCCTGCAATTTTTAGGTTAGGATTGTTTATAGACCAATTATAACAAATATATATCTAAAAAGGGCTGGCAAGTCGGTCAATTGACCAGTCAAATTTAGTCAATTGACCAGTCAAATTCAGTCAATTGACCAGTCAAATTCAGTCAATTGACCAGTCAAATTCAGCGGTCAATTGACCGGAGGAGTATCTGACTTGGTCAAATACGGTCAAATACTCTAAAAAAATTAAAGGAAAAATAAATTAAATATGTTTAAAAAAGGGAAAATCGATGTAAATACATGTGATCACAATGTTTGCTTATTTTTTGGATTCACAATATCAAGAGGAGAACTCACTAGTAGTGAAAGTAATGAAGTATGTGATATAATTCAAGAATTGGCTATTTTACAAGGTAGTGATGACCAAAATATTTTAAGTGATATAATTTATTTCAGAAGCAAAAACAGCATGTTTAATATAGCAAATTATTTGGAAAGTAGTAATTTCCAGAAACAATCAATTCTGCCCTCAAGTTAATAGATTAAACTTTGTCCACCCTGCCCATTAAGAGACTAACAATTCCTGGTTCTACTTCTTTAGAAAGAAATAGGTCGATTTGGGTTAATATTCTTATGAAAATAGAAATCAATTGCAGATCTAAGACATCAGGAAAATTGATTAAAAAATATTAAAGAAAATGATAATATTCAATATGAATCAGAACAAGACTCTGCTACAGATAGCTAGCTACACTTTAGTTATTGAATGACAATGAATTTATAAAATTAATATTATAGATTCATTTTATTATTATATTCAAAATAAAGCTAATAAACTTAAAAAAAATTTGAATTTGACCATATTTGACCGGTCAAATGCACAACTTTGATACTAAATATTATGATGACCATAATATAATAGTGTAATTGTAACTCGCTTTGTTCCTAGTTTAAAATTAAAATTTTATTTGTATATTTTTTTGAAATTGTCAAAATTAAAACTCCAAATTATTATTTTATGACCGTTTATCATTTGATATTTTAAGATCTATATGGATATTAAATCAGATTTACTAAACTCAAATCGAATGAACCTACATGATATCATAACTTACACCTGAAAAAATAAGAAAGAAATTAATTGACAATATAATAAATAACCTGGACATGAAGGGTGGTTATAGACTACGCAGCTCCCTTGACACATTTGCTCCAGTGAACGCGATAATATACAGAAAATGTTAAAAAGGCATCCCCAAACCTCTGAAGTTATAGCAATTAGTGTAACTACTAACCTTATTTAAACTGTCACTCTGGAGAAAGTGATTAAATTGATTAGATCTTTTGAGAAGGATGCTGCCTATAAGTTCCACGGCATTAAACCTCTCTTTCTACAAGACTTAATTACTCCTAATATGAATAGTCAAACTTATTTACTGGATGAAATCACTTATCAATGGTGATATCCCATAATTCGTAAGGGCCCTTTTTTGGAACCAAAATTGTCACTGTGAGAAAAATTAATGATGATATCAGGTCTATTGTCGTTGGTGCAGCATATAGAAGATTATGTTCCAATCTTATAGCTAGTAGAATTTTCCCAGAAGTTTCTGATTTATTTCTTCCTCTTCAATTTGGTGTTGAATCGAATTCAAGATGTAAAGCGGCTATATATATCACTCGATATTGAGAATGCTACAATTGTTCAGAAACTTGTTAAAGTATCCCTAAAACCCTTTATTCCGATCGAGATTTATATTTTTAGAGAGGAAAAATCTAGTGGTATTTGAAAGCAGAATATGACTCATTCTTAGTGACTTCTTAAATATCCAATTAATAGATATCGCTTGGCATCACGCCACACTTCCTACCAAATATGTTGGTTTTGATATAAGATCTCCACTGTCGATTTTAATTTGTACATTGTGATTAATTGACCAACATCTGTTAGTCCTCTAATCCTTTTTTAACACAGCCAGGATAGAATGGTCAAAATCCGTCACAACCACAACCCTAATTCCGATTAGGAATGGATCTTCTACTTATGAAAAACTTGATTACCTTATTTATGAATCTTTCACTTTTGGCTTGATCCATATTCATTGAACATATCAAGGATAGGGGATATAAATTTTTAGATGATATTCCATCTAGTAATCTCAAATTTGAATTGGACAACCACAAGCTCATCTATACACTATGTAACACGCTCAACATTCCTTTCTCGTGACAATATAAATGCAGCAAATGTCAAAGACAATATGGCGCTTATCCTTTACATTGCAATCGTAATGTCTGTTTGGCAAACGCAACCCTTGAGTTACAATTAAATCATATCTCTTGCAATTAGGTCAGCTGGCTTTTCTATGTTATTGGAGCCTCGATGGTAGGCGTCCTAGAATCTCACGAATTCCATAGTCACAAGGAAAGTTTCTAATATGGGATTTTTCTTTTCAGGACATGAAATGTAATTCCAATTTTAACAAGGATTCTCTGAACAGAGCTCAAAACCTAAGATCGCCAAATACAGCGCTGTTTATTCACATTACATATTCTTGCCAATCATTTGCCCCACTTTAGCAACATATGATTATTTGACTAAAAGGTATAAAGACTAGGTTGCCTAATCAGGAAAAATTCTGGAGAACCTCTGAAAGCTTTTATTTAAGGCAGAGGATCGCAATAGCGATTCTTGGGGCTAATTATGTTTGTTTTATTAATTCTATCTCTCCTGATGATTAGGGCATTTGTAGATATAATATTTTTTAACAATTTTAGCTTTTATTAGGGCTGTAAACACTTCTAAAAAAATTGAACGCGTTCAAGTTCACATTCAAAAAAAGGTACGCGTTCATGTTCTTTCAAAATTTTATGACAAATTTTTTTTTTAAATTAAATTTAATATAAATAAATGTCTTATATTTTTTAATACAATATACAATATATTAGCCATGTTATAAAATAATATAGTTTTATTTTGATGATGTAATTATGAATACTTATTTATAAATTTTTTTTTTACTAATTATTAATCACAATTATTTTAAAAAATTTTCTTCTGATAGATAGGAACCCTTGCCAGTTAATACGACATTCGCTATACAAAAAAACGCGCTCTATAGGGGTAGATGAGGGGATTGATTCTTCCAATAATTTTTATTAATGTATAAAAGCCTGGTTAATCCTCCCATGTCACACACTATGTCAAACAAATTATAATTTTTATTTACTAATTAGTCTACCAATTTCAAATAATTATAATAGAATTCCATATTGTAACAACAAATCTTATAATCAACCTTGAGAAATTATTCTTTAAATCACAATAGTTGATGTATATTGATTTTGTTTATTCCATAATACACTTATCAAATAAACTTTTTCAAGTTTACATAAAAGTTTTTATGTTCTAAGGCGTCAATTTAATATTAGATTATATTATGTACAATTTATTTTAATAAGCATTTATTTTACTTTTTAATATATAATGTTATTTTTGTTTATTTCAATAAGTATATATTTGACTGCTTAACAGATAATGTGTAGAGAATAAAACTTTTAAGAAAAAAGTTTAATAAAACTTCAATAAAATTATCGTTTTATAACTTCGTTCCAAATCTATACGATCACACCTGCAACACACTTCTTTAATTCTTTAAAAGATAATTTTCGAATGCTTTCCACATCAACACTTCACTAAATTAAGATTGTAGCAAGCACAAGAGTGATTTTTGGGCAGATAAATAAAGTTTTCATCTTTATTTTAATCAAATACCACATTTAATTTAATGAAAATGGTACAAATTCATCCTCCACATCTTCAGATATTTTCTCAAATAATCTAATTTTTTTAAACATAAACTTAAAAAATATAGACTATTTATTAATATCTAAAAGCTTTTAAAAAATTTCTTGCATTATCGGTGATACATAATGTTACCATATTATATATTTTAAATTTCTACAGAAGGTTTAATAATGTTTATGCTGAATAATCAAATATATGTTTGCTAGTTAGCCTTTGGCAAGCTAAGCATGCCGATTTAAATATATTTTAACAAATATTTTTCCTAGCATGATGTTAAAATCTCTAGATATTTTTGACACAAAGGTTGGGCACGACATAACCTCTTTATTTTGTTTTAAGTGGTTTTCATATTTAAAAAAGCAGGTTTTTCAACTATATTATATGGCTCTAGTTATTCTATTGCAAAATATAAAATTGAATAATCTATTTGTGATTACACATTTGATATATTTTTATTTTCATATTAAAAAGAGTTTTTTTTAAATTTATTATTATTATTATCACTATAATTTGTTAAATAATTATTAAATTTCCTGCAGCATATCATCGTTAGAACTCTGTAAAAATAAAGAAAGTTTTTGATAAATTGTGATACAAATGACAAATTATATTATATAAAATAATTACTCTAAAATTAAAATTTGTTAAATAACAAACATTTTGCAAATGCATATTTGAGTTTAAATATAATATTTATATATTATAATATTTGCAAAATTTTTTAATTCAATAATCATTATATATTATATTAAATATTTTAATAAAAATATTAAATTTATCCTTTATAGCATTTGTAAATAAAAATATAAAATCTTATATATAATATATTCAAAGACTCTCTCAAAATCCAACCTTCAGCCTCATCGTGGCGGGGGAGTGGCAACGTCTTTTGGCGGCAAATGGAGGTCTAAAAGGTTCCCTGTGATCTGGGTCTAGAATAGGATCACCGTCTCCTCGACGGGGTGTAAAAACCACTTAAAGAGGTTGATGTCAGGAAGGGCATCCGATTGTAAAAACCTTGCTACAAAAATTTCCCTATGGTTACAACAAAGCATGGGCGGGGTACAGCCCAAAGTACCCCGTTGGCCTCCTCATCCGCCTACGACAAAAAGAAGGATGGGAAACCTGGTGGAACCACTATTCATGAAAATGAAACCTATGACGGCCATAAACGACCTGATAAAAAGTGGAGAAACCAGTTTACGGGTGATCGAGTTAGGGTCGCGACATGGAATGTTGGGAGTATGACGGGAAGAGCGGGAGAAGTCGTCGATGTATTGCACAGAAGACATATAGATGTGTGCTGCATACAGGAGACTAGATGGAAAGGAAATGGGACCAGAATGATTGGCAAGACTAGCGAAAAGTATAAATTCTTTTGGCAAGGAGGTAATGATGGTAAGGCTGGAGTTGTGGTATTGGTTGCGGAGAAATTGGTAGACAAAGTAGTCGAAGTGAGAAGGCTAGACAACCAGATAATGGTTATCAAGATGATTATTGGTAGAAAGCTATATAATATGATCTCGGCATATGTTCCTCAGGTTGGAAGAAGTGAAGAAGAGAAAGATGTATTTTGGGACAGTCTATTGGGGGTGACATCGGGACTGGCAAATGAAGAGGGGATTATCCTGGCTGGCGATCTGAATGGACATGTGGGAGCGAGTAGTGAGGGTTATGAAGGAGTACATGGAGGGTTCAGTTACGGCATGAGAAATTTGGAAGGAGAGAGGATTTTAGAATTTAGTGATGCTATGGATATGATTGTTTGTAATACAATGTTTAAGAAAGAATCAGAGAAGCTGATGACTTATAAGTCGGGTAGTACCAAAAGTGTTGTGGATTACTTGTTATTATGATGATGTGATCGATGTATAATAAAAAATGTGAAAGTGATACCGGGAGAGGAATGTATAAATCAGCATCGACTAGTTGTAGGAGATCTCACTCTTAAAGGTGCCAGGGTCACTAAAAGAAAGTTTGTCCCAAGGCTGAAGGTTTGGAAATTGAAGGAGGAGAATGCTAGACGTCAATTCAATAAGTCATTGGCGATTAGGGAGGCGGAGGTGGCACAAGCATCTGGGGTGAATGACAAGTGGGAAGCCATGAAGAAAGCTTGGGTAATGACAACTGAGGAGGTATGTGGATGGACAAAAGGGCCGCCTAGACATAAGGAGACTTGGTGGTGGAGCCCGGAGGTAGCGAAAGCCGTGGATGAGAAACGGAGGTGTTTCAAAGTATGGTATAATAGCAAAGAAAATAGTGATAATGATATTTACAAGATGGCTAAAAGAAATGCTAAGAAATTAATAGCGAAGGCTCAAGAAGAAAAAAGACACGAGTTTGCTAAAGAAATGGAATGCGCTGATGGAATTGGAAATATGGTTAGAATGGCAAAACAGATGTCAAAAAAGAGGCAGGATGTGATAGGTGTAAAGTGTTTGAAAAATATGGAAGTAAAAATGACGATTGATAGTAGTGGTATTAAGAACACCTGGAAGATTTACATGAAAGGACTTTTGAATGAAGAAAATGAATGGAATAATAATATTAGTTATGCAAAGGTAGAAGGTCCAGGGTGTAAATTTGGCAAGGACGAGATAGGAGAGCAGTGAAAAAGATGAAGAAAGGGAAGGCATCGGGTTTAACGATGGTGGTATCAGAGATGTTTAAAGGTTCTGATGATTTAGGGATTGAATGGTTAATGAATTTAGCAAATCAGATTGTCACAGAAGGTACTATTCCCGAGGACTGGCGAAGAAGTATAATTACAAGGGGAAAGGTGATCCTTTAGATTGTGGGTCTTACAGAGCTGTTAAACTCTTGGAACAAATGAAAGTATTTGAGAGAGTGTTAGAAAAGCGGATAAGGGAACAAATCAAAATTGATGAAATGCAGTTTGGTTTTACATCGGGAAAAGGCACGACAGATGCAATTTTTGTGGTGAGACAAATTCAGGAGAAGTATCTTGCGAAGGAAAAGAAACTCTATTATGCGTTTGTTGATTTGGAGAAAGCATTTGATAGGGTGCCGCGTGAGATTACAAGATGGGCCTTGAGAAAATTTGGTGTGGAGGAATGGTTAGTTACCGCAGTGATGGCAATGTATGTTGGAGCACAAACAGCAGTACGGACGGAGGATTATAGTGATAGTGACAGCTTAGAGGTGAAGGTAGGACTTTCCGTGCTGAGTCCATTATTATTTATCTTAGTAATGGATGTGGTGGCTAAAGAAATGCGTGAAGGACTTCCCTGGGAGATATTATATGCAGATGACCTTGTATTAATGGCAAACAGTGAGGGAGAATTGAGGGATAAAGTTAGTAAATGGAAGATGACTATGGAAGCAAAGGGCCTGAAAATGAATGCATCAAAAACAAAGGTGATGATTGGTGGGGAAAATCTAAAGATAGAAGAATCAGGTAAGTGGCCTTGTGGTGTATGTGGGAAAGGAGTTGCTAGAAATTCTATCCAATGCACCAGATGACAGAAATGGGTACATAAAAGATGTAGTGAGAAAAAAGGCAGTTTGATGTTAGAAAGAATGACCTTTATTTGTAAAGCATGCATGAAAGGGATACATAATAATGATAACCTAAAAAATGGTGGTCTGGATATTGACAATGTGTTAACCCTAGAAAAAGTGGATAAGTTTTGTTATTTAGGTGATATGCTAAACGCAGATGGTGGTGTAGATTCTGCTGTTGTTGCAAGGATCAGACAAGCTTGGAAGAAGTTCAGAGAGATGTCGTCTATTCTTACAAATAAAAAAGTTTCTCTGAAGTTAAATGGGAAAGTTTACGTAAGCTGTGTGAGGAGTTGTTTAGTTTATGGCGGTGAAACATGGGCAATGAAAGCAATTCACGAAGCCAAATTAGAAAGAACAGAGAAGAGGATGGTTAGATGGATGTGTAGGGTATCTCTGAGAGAGAGAAAAACTAGCAAGGAATTGCGAGCAAGATTAGGTATAGAAATGATTGGTATGGTAATGCGACGAAATAGACTAAGATGGTTTGGGCATGTGGAACGTATGACAAGAGATGACTGGGTAAAGAGATGCACAATGATGGAAGTAGGAGGATCAAGACCTAGAGGAAGACCCAAGATGACGTGGACAAATGTGATAGCGGCGGATATGAGAAGCTTGAATCTTACAAGTATTGATGCTCAGGACCGTCAAAAATGGAAAAGAAAAATCAGAGGAAAAACTGGCCTACCCGGGTAAACCTGGAAATCGCCATAAAACGGAGAAGAAGAAGAAGAATATGTTCAAAGAGATCATCTTTATATTAATACTTTTATATATCATATAAAAGTGAAACAACAATATATATAAATTTATACTTTAAATTGTGTTCAACAATTAAAATATAAAATCCTTGATGAATATATAATGAATAGATTAATTTCAAAAAATTACATTAAAAATAAATTCTAAATGATATCAATAATTTTCTATCTCTGTATATAATATATAAAATTGAACGCGTTCGTTTACAACATTAGCATTTATCGATTATATATTTTCCATTATTTTATTATTTATGTTCAATATTGTTTCATTTTTAATATTAAATTAACATTGCCATTATTTTTTAGCTTTGGATAATAATAATTTTATACAAATTGCCTAAATCAATATACTAGCTATAAAAACACATTACCATAGTCTTGAGAATGATTTGCCAGCTATATGCCAAATTCAGATTATATTTTTTGGCGAAAATCTTACTTGTGGATTTCGTTAACACTTAGAAACAATCGCTATAACCGATTTTATTCAAAAGCCCTTTTTTAACCAAAGAAAAATGAAATAAACCCCAAACATGAAAATCATATAATTTAATGCTGTAAATCACAATTTTTGATAATTTTTAGGGTGAATGATAATGTTTTTATAATCTATATATATTGTATATAATACGGTAGAAAAATAAAATAAGCCCGAACATAAAATTAAATGCAATAATGGCAAATACATATTTATTAATCATAATCACTAATTTTTTTTGATTATTTTTTTTGATAAAATATATTTTTATAATCTAAAATATATTGTAAATAATGCATATAAGAAATATTAGTGATTAATATAATTTTTAAGCTTTGGATTTCTTGGGTAAAGAATTAAGTTTTCATAGCGGGATAGTAAAACTTCCTTCTTCACGATTAATTTTTTTTAATCCTAGTAATAGAAATTAATAATAAATTTAGTAGAATTAGTTTATTATATTGATTCAATCTTTAAATGTAATAAATTTTTCTAGCATATTTGGATACGAGTTATAATGCTTATTTAAACTAAAACTCTATTCATAATATTATCTGAATATAAAAATAACGAATTATTTAATATAATAAATTAAATATTTTACCTGAAAACTTATGTCTTCTAATGACATCACCTTAAATTTTTAGAAAAAAATTATAGTCAAAATAAATTAAATTTATGACAATTATTTAATTATATTTTAAAGGTAAAATTGTAATGAGAATAAAATTAACATAATATTTTTGTTTATAATATTATTTTCCTTTATTTTAAACAGTAGTTTTTTTCTTCATTAAGTTTTATTAGTTATAGATTTTGGTTATAATATTGTCTAGGTAACAAGATAAGATCATAAAAATATTTTGCAGTAAAGTCAATGCTTACCTTGTATTACTCTATCATCCATAGCAGGTGTAGGGGATGTTTCTGCAATCAAATTTCAATAGAATAAAATATGTTTATCGTTTATTAGAAAATAAAATATAAAAACTGTAAATAATAAATGTAAGAATTTATTTTAACTATTTTATTATTCTTTTGTTTTCATCCACAAAATTATATATATATATCTTTTTAAAAGTTAATTGAACAACTTAAATATAAAAATAAATAATATTCAAATTTAAATCAATCAACATATAAAATAAATAATATTCAAATTTAAATCAATCAACATTCCCCCTCTTCTACAAACAACGAAGCTTCTTCTCAGCAGTCATCGAGAGCTTGTTGTCCTAGAAGTTTTTCCTGTTTCGATTGTACTCGGTTTAATCTTGGTTAGCGCATAAGTCTCAAATGTTTTCGTAGGCTTGATTCTATCACGTAGGTTTGGTAAAATCGTTTATTAGAGTTGCGTGAGTTTGTACGTTTTCTGTAGGCTTGAATCAATCGCGTAGGTTTGATAAAATCGTTGAACGTTATCGTTGGTTTGATATCCTTATCTTATGTTGTTCACATTTCTCAAAATTGTTATTATCATTAATCCAGTTGAATATTGGAATTTGGAATAAATCGGAATATATAATTTGGAATAGTTGATCAAATCAAATGTATGAATAATATACACAAATAAAATTTTGAATTTCGGAACAATAAAATATGTAATAAGGAATGATAATTTATGGAATAAGGAAAATCCAGAATAAGGAATGATAAATCATAACGATTATTATATTATTTTTTATAGCGTTTTATACTTTTAGCGTTTTAAGCGTTTTATATTTAAATTTTAAGCACGTAATCTTTTAAGTAATCAAGTTTATTTTTAATTCTTATTGGTCTAGTAATTGGTATCTTAATCTCATTCTTTATGTCCACACTTCCCCCTTTAGAGGAATTTTTAGGGTCAATTTCATAATATTTTAAACTATTGTAACATTCTCTTTTCCTTAACTGATCAATTTGCCTACTTACTATCCCTTTATCAGTATAAACTTGAAACATGGTGTTACTCTCTTTAAGCTTGATGCTGCCTTTGCACCACGTATCATCACCCTGTTTCTTATACCAAACATAGTCTCCTCTATTAAAAGTTCGATTTCGTGGTAACGACATGAAGACTTCACCAACTTTGTCCTCCAAAGGTTTTAATAAATCCCACTTTATTCTAATGTCGCGGTTAAACATTCTTTTGGACGGTGTAACTCCCGTAGTGTCATTCGGCGTGTTTCTATAGTTGAACAAAAATCTGTCCAGCGCAGTTTCTAAGCCAATCTTTATGTTTCTTTTCATATGAGCTTTAAATGTTCTCACCATACGTTCAGCTTGTCCATTAGATTGCTGATGGTAGGCCGACGTTAGTACATGTTTTATACCATAATTGCTACAAAATTTTTCAAAATCTTTGCTCGTGAAATTGGTACCATTATCTGTAACAATGGTTTCAGGTATACCAAATAGTGAAATAGTTTTATAAATTTCCTTTAACGTGAATTCAGTCGTAATACTCTTTACCGGAACTATAACCGGAAATTTACTGTAAGCATCAACGATTATTAACCAATTCTTTGTAAAAAACGGACCAGCATAATCTATGTGTATCCTTTCAAATGGTTAAGTTGCTGCTACCCATGGATTTTGTATTTTCTTTGGATTGTCATGATAAATATTACAATCATCGCAACTTTTGACTTCCAAATCAATGTCGTTGACCATACCAGACCACCACATACGATCTTTGGCTAAGGATTTAATTTTACCTGCTCCCAAATGACCTTCGTGTAACGCCTTCAGTATGTTCTTTCTCAGACTTGACGGAATTATTATTTTGTCGCTTTTGTACAGACAATCTTTAATGATACTTAGTTCTTGTTCAATATTTTCATAAATTTTATTTTGGATAGGC